CCTCCCGTAATCATCTTGCTAATATAGAAACAAGCACTTCAATTATCTGTAAAATAGTGAAGAAATCCAACCACCTAGTGGAGAACTAAGTTGAGGGGTTAGTGGTGGATGGAGGACATGAAAGAAAACGAATAATTACAATCATCATTTTCATAGCTCAAACGATATTTGGTAATTATCTTGTGTCAGTTTCATCATCATCATCATCATTATTATTATTATTATTATTATTTTGAGCTTCAGTGGTGAATAACTAATCCAACATAAATTCAAAATTACTCATAATACCTCTACTTTTTAAAATAGGTCTGAATGTCTAAACTATTTCAACCATACAAGGTCTTATTATTCTTAGAGTAAACATCCAACTTGCAGATGCAACTTTGGGAATTAATCTAATGGACAAATTAAATTTGATAAGCAGAGTTTAGGATTCTAAAACGTATAAAAGAAGTAATTTCTGGAAAACAAGCAGAAAATAACTATGAAATTCAAACATCTTTTTGCAAATCCCAGATTTAATAGAATGAAACATAATTAAAGATTATGAGGGCATTTGTTTTTCATTTTTTTTAAAAATGAGAACGAAAAATATAGCCGTTATACGGGACACACAAGAGATAGAAATTCAAATTTGAAGATTTGATGTGATGGATAACAGTTATATTTTTCATTTTGATGGGGGAAATAATTGGAAACAAACAGGGGCTATATAGAAACAAGAAAGAATGATTCAAGAATTTTAGAATGTCACGATGTAAACTTGAGATACTTGAAAAGAATAATCAATTTCTCAGTCGAACTTCAATAGGTTTCAATCAATAATATAAAACATTGTGATAACCCTTCACATAAATTACCATCTGAGAGATTAAGCAATAATTTAATTTTACTAGTTTCAGATCATAAAACTAATCATCTACAAACAAATCACATAACACAATTTTAGATTGTTGAAAAAACTGGGTGATTTGTATTTAGATACTAACCAATTAACATAATCAATATATATATATATATATATAAAATAATTCAACAATAATATGAATATAAAAGTTAGAAATACAAGTTTTGGGAGTCATATCAACGACGCTGTCCTAAAGTCGTGTTGCCTCCTCTTAGTGCGGCACTATACGACTCTAAGATGAGATCACGTGGCTCTCCTTCTATGGGCACGATCATAGGGAGATAAATGAATGAGTCTCTCATTGAGTTGTGAAAATAGTATGAATATAATATAAGATTGTAGAGGGAACAATACTTCAAATTTGTATAAGATATGTACAACAATAAAATCCAATCACCTTTTATAGGTAAAATTTCAATCCCCACATTTATACCATTAAAACATAAGTTATAATATATATTATGGTCATTTAATTATTAAAACTTAAAATTAAAAGGTTTTATTTGAAAGGTTGAAATTTTTATTGTTAAGTTACAATATAAATTATGAGATTTAATTTTATATTAAAAATCAAAATTAAAAATCAATATTTGTTGTGAAAGTTTAAAACTTTTACAAAATGTTCCAACACTTTCTAAAAAAAATTTGACCTTCTTTAGGGTAAGACATCTAAATATTAGAAGGGGACAAAGTGATAAGAAATTTAAGACATAAATGTGCGTTTGATTGCCTATATTTTTCATGGAAAATGTGTTTCTTTTACTCAAATTCCTACTTTTGTACTGGTTGATTGCCATTTTTTTCATGGAAAATATTTTCTCACTTTTGGTCATGTGACAATATTTTCCTCAAAATCAAGGAAAATATTTTCTTTAGGAATAACAGGATTTTACTTTTCACGAAATTCAGTCTCTCTTTCTTTCTCTTATTTATTCACTCTATTTCATTAACCCACCAATAAAAAATAGACAACTATAATATTTTCTAGGTTGAAAATTAAGTAAATCAAACACATTTAGCTCTTGTTTGAGCCCCATTTTTTTTTGGAAAGAATGAATTTTTAAATAGTGTATTGATATGTGTGGTTAAAAAATAAGAAAATATTTTGGATTTGCGTGTAATATTATTTTATTGAAGAATGTGTGGTTAAAATGATGTCAAAACACTGTTGAAAAATGTATTTTTTTCAAAAGAATGGGGTTCAAACAAGGGCTTAATTGACAATTTCCATATAAATAAATTCTAAACAATTGAATTACTTAGAATTTATTTTCTTTCCATACAAATTTCATGCTTGCAATCAAACGCACCTTAAATGTAAAAATGGGGAAAAGTTGAGGACGGCTTCCCCCACCCCCTCTGCTTCCTCTCACTCGACAGCACCCTGCCTACCAATTGGAACAATCGAGAATGCACGAGTCACGAAATGACTAATTAAATCCCACATTCTCCTCATTTAATTTTATCCTCTACACATTCAGTCTCCTTGTGCCCAATACTGCACCAATACAAAAATTTCAAATTGCATCTCCTCAATAAAGGCTCGAATACCACATTTTAGCGGTCGATTTATGTCAATACCTACCCAGTTACTCTAGCCCAAATGCACATTCCACTCATATCCACCGCTTCAATCCCCCCACCATTGATGTACATTGTCTTGTATATTGTTTAATGTGAAGGGTACATTTCAAAGTTGTATCCAAAATGGGCTCATGGTAAAATGTATCGATGTTATGTCCATTGTTCATGACGGTTTTATCTATGCATCAATTTGGTTGTTGAAAGAACATGAATTGTCGACTAGTATCTTTGCCCGATCAGTTACAATACTGAATTGAAATACAAATATGTCAGCCCCGATTTTGCGCAACTTGAACTTTATGCTCAGTCCACGAAATAGTCTGAACTACTCCCTCCAAGCCTTCTTCATCCATGCCTCGACTACCAAGAACCTTCCGAACCAAGCTAAGGTCCACCCGCATCATCCCACCCACAAAGGCTCCCCTCTTGACCGCAACAGCAAGTCCCATGTCATTCCAAATCCTCAATCCATGTAACCTCACTAGTTTGACACAATTCATCTTATGAAGTGTAAAGATGAGAGAAAAATCATCTCTTCAAAGTTGGATTTTCTGTCTCTAAAATATCGCAAGGACAAGTATTTGGACCTCATTAGGGATGGCAAAAAATCCATCAAACATGTAGGAATTACCCTCTTAATTGGGTATCCGGGGTAGGAAATTTTGCCCCGAGGCGAGTACGGGTACGCCCCAATCCATTTATTTATTTTAAGAATTCAATATTTTAAGTAGAAAATTCCATAAATTTTCATTAATTCTAATAAAAGATGACAACTAAAATTATTTAAGGAATATGATAAACAATAAAAAATTAGTTTACCAAATATATTTGAATAATTTAATTGTTAAAAATAAATAAATTAATTAAAAATTTTAATAACTTTTTTATTGTTTCACTTTAATGTATGGGAGTAATAAAATAAATTATCAAAAATTTAATTAGAAAAAGGGGGTACGTAAACGGGCAAGGCCCAACCCCTCCTTAAACAGGCAACATGACAGATACGGGACAAGAAATTGACTTGCGGGACGCCACGTCCTATTACCATCCCTAAACCTCATAAATAATCACCATAATCTTGCACTCGTAATCTTCTCTTTGTTGGATCAATCCAAGCGATAGGAACCACGATAAAGTAGCATACAAAATTCACACTTAGGCAATTGTGACATCAATTTGCATATTTGAAATGCGTATACATGTCTCTACCTAATTTCAGTCCCTATCCCATTATTTATCCAAAATATATAAAAGTATCCTCTATATTCTGTCATCAATAATTGATGTAGTGACCTCTTACCAAACTATCACTAATTAACGTATTATTGATTGGGATACCTTCTACTCTTTTTTTTTTTACAAGGAAATCCGCAACCGCTACTCGAAGGTGCGCACTAAGTAAACCCCGTCTTGTGATCCTAGACGGCAAAGGACCACAAGGAGGTAAACCAGCCTAGGTTACCCATAGCTGATCGGCTCAAACCAAGAAGGTCAATAGACAGCTCCAACGGGAATCGAACTAACAACCTCACGATTGCTAGTCCAACTGTCCGACCAACTTGGCTGGGGTTGCCCCCGGGATACCTTCTACTCTTATTTACAATATTCATTGTTCAACACAACATTTTTAATTCCAATAGAGAACAAATTACAAGTCTAATATGTCACCTGTCAACAACATAAATTCAACCTCGAAATAATGTCTCTTACAAACTATCCTCCATTGATTGAAAAAACGAAAAAAAAAAAAAAAAAAACTTTCAAACTTTCTCTTACTTAATAATTAAAAATTTTAAATTCAACGTGACGAAATTTAATTATTTAATAATTTAAAAATTACCAATTTTCATATTTACGCGTAGATCTAATCTTTCTATTTGGTTTTGTTAAAAATCAAATTTTTTTTGTAGATTTTAATACACGTTGATAAAACGTATAGTTTGAAAAATTGATAATAGTTATCACTCATATAAAATTTATGATTGAACGAGTTATAAGAAAATGAATTTGAAAAAAGGGGATAAAATAGGGGATCAATACAAAAAATCAGTCAACTTAATTTCATCTCAAAGATGTTGATTTTTCTTTCTAAAATATTTTATTAATTTTATGCCTTTTGATAGTAAAGTGTGTCTCGTCTACTACCTAGACGAAAGCTCGCTATGACCATAGAGACATAAATCCACCCAACAAAATACAATACAAAATATAAGGGACAAAATTTATTTGTTGTTGGCCCCCTTCCGACCCTTGTTTGAGCCCTATTATTTTTATCAAAATATACAGTAATTTGATTTCATTTCAATTATATATTCTTCACTAAAATAATGTTACATATAAATTCAAATTTTTTTTGTTTTTTAATTACACATTTTTCATCAATATATTATTAAAAATGCATTTTATTATTTTTTTAATTTTTTTTTAAATAAATTTTTTTTTTTTGCCCAAGAATATAGAAAGTATATAGGAAGTGCACTTTAACAAAAACAAACAAACAAATCCCCAGACCATACTCTCCCGCGCTTGTTCCGATGAGTATTTTAGTGCAGTTCGAACTACTTTTCAAGATTTACTCGTATTTAATCTAAATCTAAAACTCTTAATGACGAATTGACGATAAATGTGTGTGTATATATATCTGTAGCTGGATCCGCGCTGGATTTGGATAAATCAACCCCCTTATTTTCTCCATCCCATTTACAACCTACAATTTACGCCTCGGAACTGCAAAATTTGACTTAAGAAGAAGAACACGGAATGGAATCGCCCAAGAAGCCTCTTGTATTTGCCTACTATGTTACCGGGCATGGATTTGGCCATGCCACTCGTGTTGTTGAGGTAATTTTTATGCACATTCACTTGATTTTTGATCTATACATATTTTCGTTTTTATTTTATTTTTATTTTTTTTGGTAAATATATAAGTTTAGTTTATATGTAATCCTATATGCCCATTTGTCTGCTTAGATTGTATCGAGGTTCTCTGTATCTGCATTGATAATCACAGTTTGAAATTCTAATGTGAAGTGGGTTTGTAGAAAAGATTAGTCTTTCTTATGAACAATCATTGGAATAGCCCAAATAATTGTTTTAAAGATGTTAAGTGATAATGCTTATGAGTTGAAGTGAATAATGTTGGCGATTTAGGGTGATCATGTGCATTTTGAATAGGTATAAGCAATTCGAATATAATTTGGAAAAATTGCTTGGATGTGTTTGAGAAATTTGATATTTTGTGAAATTGGTTTGTGTCTGTAAGTAGATTCATATGTGTATGATTAGACAATACAGCTCCTTTTGATGAGTGATATGAACGGAGGCTTCAAAAAAACTAGTGATTTAAATGATCATTTGTAAAATATTTTCCATTTTCATATACATAAAATAATAATGATCTTACCTTTGTGTTGTCTTGGAATTGATACTTAAAGTAGTTCCCTTGTGACCTATTAAAAATCATCTTTAAGCAGCTATGTTACCAACTGGAAGCTGGTAGCATCTCAATAAGGTCAACATGGACATAACTATGTTGGTGAGAAATCCTTCCACTTTTTCCTATTGACAGGTTGTTCGTAATCTCATTCAAGTTGGACATGATGTTCATGTGGTTACCGCTGCTCCTGACTACGTTTTCACTACTGAAATACAGTCACCTAGACTCTTCATCCGGAAGGTCAGTTACCACAAAATATTCTAAAGAAAAATTTTATTTATTTTCATATAGTAGTTCCCTTGTGACCTATTAAAAATCATCTTTAAGCAGCTATGTTACCAACTGGAAGCTGGTAGCATATCAATAAGGTCAACATGGACATAACTATGTTGGTGAGAAATCCTTCCACTTTTTCCTATTGACAGGTTGTTCGTAATCTCATTCAAGTTGGACATGATGTTCATGTGGTTACCGCTGCTCCTGACTACGTTTTCACTCCTGAAATACAGTCACCTAGACTCTTCATCCGGAAGGTCAGTTACCACAAAATATTCTAAAGAAAAATTTTATTTATTTTCATATGTGAGGTCACTCAGCTGACAATCATACAGTACTTTTCATTTTCCCCATTCAGATTTTGAATTTAACTTGGTAAACTGTACGTTTTGCTTGTGGAGCCCAAACCTATTGTACACTTTGCCCTTGACCGCATATCCACTTAACAAGCTTTGCCCCCCGGGGCACATCCAAGTTGGCAAAGGAAGGACAGTGCGGGGCTCGCAACCCCAGCGTGGGGAGTTCGATTCCTGGTTGGAGCAGCTGAGTGTTGTAATAACCAGAGAAAGGATTGGAGTAGCTTGGTGATGTAATAACCATGGAGGAGGCTCCCTTGGGGCTAGGAGTATAAAGGCTGTTCGAACCTTGGTCAACTTGGGCACATCCCGCAATTTACCTCCCTGAGCTGCTGAAGGGCCGGAAGTTCAGGGACGAGGATATAGTCTGGCGTAAGCTTGGACACCTCGTTAAAAAAAAAAAAAAAAAAGGCCTACATATAAAAATGATAATTCCAGGATATAATACGTATTATATACATGTATTAGGTCAACCTAATGTTCCTAGTTATAAAGGATTATTTAGGGAGCCATTTTCTATGAGACAAAGTCTGAAAGGTGTGGCTATTGAATCTTTTCCATGGTGAAAACTTGCAGCATGAGTGAGGGTGGACCACTATAAAACTTTGTGTTTGCTTTCGTGAGTTTTTCATTTTGTTTTGCTTAATATTTCTCTTGAAAGGAGCCTAGTAGGGATTAGGGTATAATCTGCAACATTTTATGGTATGGCAAAAATCACTTCTATAAGGATCATAAGACGAACATTTTCCCTGATTGTGCTATACAATATTTCAGACTAATAATAGCATTTTTTGGCTGCAGGTGCTATTGGATTGTGGAGCTGTTCAAGCAGATGCCTTGACTGTTGACCGTCTTGCCTCACTGGAAAAGGTATAGCAATTTCATAGAAATAATTAGGAAGAGTGCGTTGTTTCCTCAAATACAATTATCAATTCTCCCTTTTCTTTTCATGTGCTTTCTGACTCTTTTTTGCTTAATTATTTTCAATCCAGTATGTCCAGACTGCTGTAGTCCCTCGGGCTTCTATTTTGGCCACAGAAATTGAATGGCTGAAATATATCAAGGCTGATTTAGTGGTAATACCTTGCTTACAATGATATACTTTCTACTTTAGCCCAATTTTCTCATTGGAATTGTTTTATAAGAATTTTGGAAACAAGCACTTTTTCTGTGGCAGGATTAATTTTACTCATAAATGTTGTATGCAATAATTAAAATAGAGACTTGTTTGATTTTTTATAATGCAAATGCAATCTTCTTATTCATGTAACAAATATTACTAGGTTTCAGATGTTGTTCCTGTTGCATGCCGAGCAGCTGCAGATGCTGGAATTCGTTCTGTTTGTGTGTCGAACTTCAGGTGATTCTGTCTACTTATTTAAACTATATTTTTTTTGGTTTTTCTTTTATCTTTCTTGTTCTTTCTTTTTCTCTGATTTTATTTATCTGATTCTGGTGGTGAGGATTGGCTATATATCCTCTGAAATTAGTAATTCTATAGAGCAATCTGTTAAGGTGCATAGGACAGAAGGCAGAAGTATGGATTGATTTTTAACCTTGAAATAGTGATAAGAAAAATTCCACTGACTAGAGTTCGGGGATGAAGATGTTGAATAGTTTTCCTTTGTGAATAATTCAAAATGATGTCTTAGTCGGGGAGATGAAGATAATGATTGAGTACGTTTCAAACTATTTCCATAACTAGGGCCTAAATGGCTTCACACAAGCAAAGGTATTTCGTATAGTTGGTATGTTTAAGATTGTAGGAATACTTAATTATTTCACCAGTTTTAGAACCAATGTCTTGTCTAATTTGGCATTTTGCTTTATCATCTTTATCTCTCATAGTATTTCATCAATTTGCTTGCTGTTGATAAATTACCTTGTAAGAAATCAGAAATAAGCATGTCTGAAATTCTTGTTTTGTATTATGTTGACAGTTGGGATTTCATCTACGCAGAATATGTCATGGTGACTGGATACCACAGTCGCAATATCGTTTTGCAGGTGATTACGGTTCTTCTATGTAAATAAAGACCTCTCAATTCACCCCTGAAATTTCTATAAATCAGAGGTTTAAATTCTTATTTTTATACGAATGACAATAGAAGATGGGTAGTCAATTTCATTATGATGGTTCTAACAACGACAGATAAAGGATTCATGTGTGACACAAAGGTTCCATTATTGCAGCATTGTAAATTATTGAAAAGTTAAGTTCACTTAGTGCTTGTTTGGGATAGCTTAAAGGTTGCTAAAAAGTTGAGATCAAAGTCAAAAATTAATTTTAATCTTCTTACCATTTTAATTGTACAAAGAGGACAACACCTTTTCACGTCACATAATTTTTTTCACTTTATTTGCCACATAATTTTTTCACTTTATTTACTCATATGTTATCTTCATTTAGAAACTGGTCCATTCTAAGATTACGTGAAGTGTCATATTCTTAAATAAGTATGTCCATATATCCATTGAAATAGAAGATATTAACGTGCCTGCTAGTTAGATTGAGGTATATTAGAGCTAGTCGTGCCAAGTGCTGGTAGCTTCATCCACATGGAATGGAAAGAATATTTACTTGAAATATGATGATACATAAAAATATGCTAATTTTCCCTTGTTTGAAAAAGAGAAACATTTATTCCCAGTTTAAATAGCAGGGTGAATGGAAATGCCATTCTATTCACATTCACATTCAAAAGTTATGTTCTCTTTGTCATAAGACAAATTTTAGTCTTCGATATTATTTGTTTTCTTGTGAGGGAAATATATTTTGGCATTAGCATGAAGGCCACTGTATTGTTATTTATAATTCATTGAGAATCATTGCGAATCCTGCAAATCTGGTTCTGAAAGAAACACGACCTTCTCGTTTTTAGTCTGTTCAATTTGAGAAGGTCACTGATCAAGTTTTATCAGATATTTACTGCTGTGAAACTAACAGTAATGTCGCTCTTTCTCATTTTTACTATCCTCTATTTTGTTTGGTTGTGTCAGTTCATTTATGTTTTTCCTAGTGATGGTTTTTCTGAACTTGCCTTATTTGATGAATGGGTTTTGAAGACCCAAAATTATTGCATCTGATGAGTATATTTGCAGATCGCTGAAGATTATTCTCATTCTGAGTTTCTAATACGTCTTCCAGGATACTGCCCAAGTACGTTGGTTCCAGCAGTCTCAAGATTGTTATATGTGTTTCATTGTTTATTCATATCTTTCAGTACCTTTCTAATTCCGTAATACTGATGTTGATGATTCTGTCAGAGGATTCTAACTGTTTATCATGCATAATTGAACTCCTCAGTGCCTGCTTTTCGTGATACTGTTGATGTGCCTCTTGTTGTGAGGAGATTACACAAGAATCGAGCAGAGGTGTGCCTTCCTGTACTAATGTCTCTTATTGGCATGGGTTATTTCATTGTATAATTTTTGGTTTTTCTTGTGGTCAGGTTAGGAAAGAGCTTGGAATTAAGGAAGACGTCAAAATTCTTATATATAATTTTGGTGGACAGGTAGAGTTTATTTTATATGTAACTATATAATTTCTGCATCTTGAAACTCTCTGATTGCATTGTTTGCCTCATTTTCATCTGTTTGTTTTGATTATGCTTTAATATCATATTTTCAGGTTGTCTTAGTCATTTTTATCTCGATAAACTTGCCTTCATTCTTTGCTTTAACTTATTTATTTTCTCTTAGCAATTCTGCGCGCACCTTGAAAGGTTCTTAAGTATCAGTAAATAAGATATATAGCTCCAATTATGATTAGATGATAGTTTTCTTCAATGAATTTGAATAGTTACAATAAATAACATGTTATTCTTCATTGCTTGCAGCCAGCTGGATGGAAGATAAAGAAGGAATATCTACCTGATGGATGGATATGCTTGGTTAGTTTAATGAGCTACCCAATACGTGTTTGAAAATTTTACATTCTCGCCAAAGTCAAAAGCAGAGAAGCAAATTACATAATGTATGTTAACCGTTGCCTGATATAGGTCTGTGGAGCTTCAGAAGGGCAAGAGCTTCCTGAAAACTTTATGAAGCTTCCAAAAGATGTTTATACACCTGATGTAATTGCTGCTTCAGACTGCATGATTGGTAATGTTACTGAAAGTCCTACAACTTTTATTTTTTATGTTTGATCGATGTATAATTTGACTTTGGAATGTTTCATATATTTCTTTTCAGGTAAAATTGGATATGGCACAGCAAGTGAAGCTTTGGCATACAAGGTTCCTTTCATCTTTATACGCAGAGATTATTTTAATGAAGAACCATTTGTGAGGAACATGCTTGAGGTATAATGTTGCTTCACATTGTTATTCTGTTCCATGGCTGTATAACGGACCAAATTTCACCAATTTATATATTGCAAACAGCGCTTTCAATGTGGTGTGGAGATGATTAGGAGAGATTTGCTTACTGGGCATTGGACTCCGTATATTGAACGGGCTGTTACTTTGAAACCTTGCTATGAGGCAGGCACCAATGGTGGTGAGGTATCTCATTTTCTTGTCTTTAGTCCAGGAGAAACTTTATCAAGGGCTATTCTGCATACCTATAATTTTGCAAGACAAGAAATTTCTCAATTTTGGACCTCCAAATGTCTAATATGGTCTCTGTTACCTCAAAATATTTTAAGGTGGCTGCTAAAATACTTCAGGATACAGCTTTTGGAAAGGATCATGCTCCATCTAAGGTGATTTTGTTTTGTTTCTAATACCTTTATTTTGTTGTGTCATGTGAAATTGTGTACACCTGGCTTTCAAGCTAATTCTATGTTCTGCGACTTCTAATATAACTGTTTTCAGGAATGAGAAGATATTCCTTTTGCTAAAAATTGATTTGAGAAATATTGTCAGACTAGCATTCAAAAAATGTAGCAACATCAATAAGGACTAGAATGCCTGCATTATTATCAAATCAAACACGCTATTAACTTACTGCAGCAATAGATGCTACTACCGTGGTCAAGATGCTGTAAATAAGTGGTTAAGATTGATGCCATTGTCAACGCCCTATTAGTTACTGTTCTCATTTTATTGTAGGAGATATACAGTTTGGTTAATACTTGTCTCGCTTTTTAATTTTATTTCCTTTTTATGTAGCTTAGTGGGCCAAGGAGGTTGCGAGATGCCATTGTCCTTGGGTATCAGCTTCAGAGAGTTCCTGGGAAAGACATAGCTGTGCCAGAGTGGTATACACATGCACAAAATGAACTAAATATCCGCACTCCATCGCCAGATAATAATGTTATCCTGAGTAGCTCCTTTACAAAAGAGTAAATTCTAGCATTCTCCATGAGTAAACCATGCTCGCTTATCGTGATCATTTAATGACTTGACTGTTCTTTTATTCATTCATTTGAATACATTTGTAGATTTGAGGACTTAGAAATTCTGCATGGAGATCATCATGGTCTTTCAGATACAATAGCGTTCTTGAAGAATTTGACAGAACTGCATGACTTAAACAACCCTGGAAATAGAAGTATGCAACACTCACGTGAGCAGCTTGCAGCTGCTGCACTGTTTAACTGGGAGGTACTTACACATCGCTTTGGCTTTTGCAAATGCATTTAGCTGGGTGGCTTTTGTTTGGTAAAATTAGGCCTTCAAAGTCTGAGGATGATATGAAATATTTGGATAATAAGTTTACTTTGCCATAACAATCTGGATGTGAGAATCAACACTCATTTGTTTAACATCTGCAAGTTGTTTCTCCGAAGAGAAAAATGGAGTATATATCCGACCATTACCCAATCTAAGCAATTAAGGTTAAGAAAGCAAAGATGATAAATTCTCTTCAACCACACTCAAAGTTTATTAAAGGTAGACTAAAAGAGCTATCTGCAGCCTTTGCCTAATTTGAAGTAAGAAGACCACTCTATCCCTTAAGCAATCGTCTTTAAAAATGTATCGATGATAAATTTAAGATTCCTCTCCTACCTTGTAGTATTAGAGGTTTATTATTAGAAGTTATATTATTATGTACAACTAATTAGTTTCTAGTTTCCTTGTAAACAGTAGCTAGTTCCCATGTATACTTTGTATCCTTAATTTGTAACATTCTATAAAGCCATAAGCAATACACATGAGAAACATATTCAGCAAAATTGGCATGTAGACCATGCAGAAGCTCTTATAGCGCCTCTCAACTTTGGCTCTCTTAGCACCTCTAGATCCCAAAAAGTGTATCCCCCATTCTGTAAAACTTTGGTATCATGGACTTGATAATATGTATGTATTTAAATGCATCTAACTATTAAAATGTCCTGCAGAAGATTTCCTAAAGAAATTTCTCATTTTTGAATCTGTAGATTAATTTGTTAGATTTTTACAGTTCTGAATAACTTTATATCTATAAATAATATGGACTTTGTTACTTTTATATAGAACTATAGTCAAATTTTTTATGTTCTAATTCTTGAAAATTCTGTTAGTTTTGTAGAAATTTTCTTCATGCTGTTGTTTCACAGATCTGGTGTTGCAGGATGAGATATTTGTTGCCAGAGCACCTGGGAGGTTAGACGTAATGGGAGGAATTGCAGACTATTCAGGAAGTCTAGTCCTGCAGGTGCTTTTCCATGGGATGCTTCTCCATTCAGAATATTTATGACTTGTTGCCAAAATTTCTCTTTTCTCAGAATTTTTTGATACTCACCATTTCCTGTGCAGATGCCCATTAGAGAGGCATGCCATGTTGCCATTCAACGGAATCATCCAAGTAAACACAAGTTGTGGAAACACACTCAGGCCAGGCAGCATACTAAAGAACGGGGCCCAATACCTGTACTTCAAATAGTACGTAGGATTTTAATCATCAGTTAGTGAAGAGATGATTCATATAGAATATCTAATTATGTGCAAAATGTGGAGCATTACCACCATATGAAGTCAATTTGCTAGGATCTTATCCTAAGTTCTACCCTTGGCATAATACATATAAATCCAAAAGTATATGACAAACTAACGAGACAGATTGTTGAAAATTGAACTTATTATTAGTAAAAGTTTTGTGTTGCATAAATACCTTATATAATCATTACTCCTTTAAATGTAAAATTAAATGCTTTAGAAGGAACAATGCTATTCCTCTTCCGTAACTACTACATAAATCTTCAATGAGTCAACAGAGCTGAGCTATGGAGCAATCCCAACCTGTGTCATTTTGAAATGTACTAAGATGGGGATGGGCTTATTTTTCTATCAAAAAAGGAATATCATATTGGACCCAGCTAACCATTGGGTCATTTGTTCATGAGCAATCCGTGCTATTCCAATGATATGTCTTTATCCATCCGTACGCATGTTCCTATTGTTGGTGACTGTTTGAGTGTGATGCATAATGGTTAGAAATTTCGACTGAACTTGATCCAATAATCCTTATTTTGCTGGCTGTTTACTATCCAACAAGGTTCAGCGAGAATCTCAATATTTAACTTTTGTTTTATGCAGGTATCATTTGGCTCAGAACTGAGTAACCGAGCACCCACATTTGACATGGACTTGTATGATTTTATGGATGGTGAGCAGCCGATTTCTTACGAGAAAGCATATCAGTACTTTGCTGCAAACCCATCGCAAAAGTAATCTTTTTAGACTTTGTTATTTTACTATAGATGGCTAGCTTTAGTAACAAGATATCAAGCCTATTACTATTATGAATTATATTCTAGGTGGGCAGCATATATCGCTGGCACGATTCTGGTATTGATGACTGAGTTGGGCGTTCGGTTTGAGGACAGTATCAGCATACTGGTACGGTTCTCTCT